TTCAAAAACCCAACTCAAACCTACTGAAATCTCAACTCCATCAAAAAAATCCTCAACTCCGGAGTTGGAGTTGTCCTGCCCTGCATCGAAATTATTCCAATTTCAGTATGTAACACATAGGAGTAACTCATTGTCTGCTTCTCTGCTGTATGAGAAAGACATACGATGCAAAGGCCATGAGAACGAAATTGCTGTAGATCGAAAATATTCCAATATGACTATGCAGCATATAGGAGTAACTGATTGTCTGCTTCTGTCGTGTATGCGACAGACATACCATACAAAGACCATGAGAAAAACATTACTATAGATAGAAAAACTAGAAAGTATGGCTGTGCAAGATATAGGAGTAGCTGATTGTCTGCTTCTCTGCTATATGAGAAGGACATGGCACACGAAGACCATGAGAAACACGTTGCTATAGATAGAAAATGTTCAGGTAGGGCTATGCAACATATGGGAGTAGTGCGCTAAAAGTGCATTTGTGTATGCGGCAGATAATCAGAGAATCAGTTATCAGTCAATCAGATAAACACAAATTGACTATGGTACATATTAAGATTTGTCATGAGCTGTTATATACAGCTCGATGTGCTCTGTCAAACTATACAAAAATCACGCATAAACCATTACTTTAAATTTTTTCGAAATTTTATACCGATAGATGGCCTGTAGAGGCATAGAGCTTATAGAAGACATAACCGTATCAGAACGACTCCGTTTGCCGAAAAAATGTCAGAGTATATACAATGCCATCTCCTCTACAATGTGGTCAATAAATATATATATATTATGGGGGGTACACACACCCTCCTTAAAATAAATTAGGCCTTTTGGTTTTACTGTTTACTAAAGATATAGTTTAATTGTTGTTAGATGTTTGCTGCTCAATGAATTTAATAGTTGCAGTAATTTGACTGTACCAAGGTCGCATAATCATTAGTTTTTCAATAAGAAATCATTAAGTTTTTTAAATTATGGTTACGTTATGTTATATATGATGGTACATTTTGTTTAATATTAGACGATAAGACCCTAAAATCTTATTCGTGCCAATAAATTCGATACGCTCGCTAAACGTTTTGACATGAATTTTTGTGTATGAGCTATAATTTAATCACTTTTCAAAGGAGTACTTAATTAAAAAACGGCCCCTCATTTTTTTGCCGTATTTTGACTGGACTTTTGTCGAAAAGACATTTGCACACATTGTTCTTATGGAAAACGTTGGTTATTTTGAGATTCCATCAAAGGACGTCGTTGTTAGAAAAAATTATATTTTGAAAAATCCAGCATAGGTTTCACGCAAACCTTGATATGAAAAGATAGCCGATGAATAGCACAATAAAATACTCTATAAACAATCCTTATACATCATTTCAATAGGCAGAAATTATTTTTACAGAGACAAATAGACCTAAAACACAGTATCAGAGGTGTTTTAAGTACTTTTTCCTCGATATGCAAACTAGGATGCAACTTGTATTTGTTTTAGAAGAATAGCCGTTAATCTACGCTACAATATTCTTTAGAAAGAACCATTAACCATCATTGGCCGGGCCATTTATAATTTTTACAAGAGATGAAATTGCACCTAAAAGATGATATCAGCGATATTTTAAATACTTCTTCTCCTTATGCAAAACATTGATCCACCTTGTACCTGATATAGAAAAATAACCAATGGAAAACTAAATAAAATTGATAGCCTTCCTAAGAGACAGGCTTTTTGAGCGATGCCGTTTGGAGCCAAGTATTATGTGAAATGGACAATTTGATAAAGGAACTACGGACTGATTTTTTCCTTATTCAAGTGTTTTTTGGCTTTTTACTATCCCGATACCCTTTATCGATCGACGTATGAACGATTGAAAAAGGAGTGTTACAGTAGAATGATGTTCCCCGTAAATGCAAGATATCTAATAGATTTTATAGACTAACTTTTTCGTTCATTTGTCTGGATCATGCCCTTTTTGAAGAAGCAAGAATACATTTTGTATCGTTGAATATTTCCGAAAAGCAAAATTCAGTTTAACATGAGGCAATAGTCTACGACAAATCTTTTTAACACGTTGTGAAAATATAAATGTTTCTTGGCCATAATATGCTAATACGAAAAATACTGTTTTTAATGTCTTCTTCTGTTGTGACTGCTGTGGCTGTTGCAAGATACGTTTTGTGATTATTTCACCTTCTCTAATACCATATTTGATAATATGTGGTGGATAGTCGTTTGATGCTAATGTTAGTTTTAATCGATCGATTTCGATTTTAATATTCTGTGGCGTTATAAATTCTCATAGTTCTAATAACCAAAGTTTTTATAAGTCCAAGTTTATACTTCCGAGATCGATTAGATTCATATAGGATGTACAAATCAGTGTAAGTCAGTTTACGGTAAATAGTCGTTGTGTATTAGCATTATCACGGATAACTAGTATATCCAGAAAGGGTAAATGTTGATTCGATTCAAATTCGACGGTAAACTTAATATTTGAGTGCCAATTATTAATACGTGCTGAGAATTTGAGGATTTCCGGTTAAGCAATGGTAAAGACGCAGAATATATTGTCTACATAACTCAACCATAAGGTAGGCTTATTCGTAGAGAAACTATTTAACTTGAGTTCTACATTGGACATAAACAGATCTGCTAAGATCGGGATCAAAGGACTACCCATGGCCACCTCATCCACTTGTATATATCGATCGTCCATAAATCTGAATGGTACGTTACATACACATAATTGTAGTAACTTTTTCATCAATACTGTCTTTCAATTCTTTATCCAGCTTTAACATATCTTTGTAACGGCTTTTACATTCTTAAAGAATGCAATCGCTCACTATATTCGAAAGTATTCGAATTGTTCATTTCGAATCTTCGATTTTAATAATTTGAATTTCATAAAAGGAGGAATAAGATTATATAACACACAATAGCGTAGAAATTCTAAGCCACACTTGACTTTTTGTAAACATTCAAATGAGGAATGATTTGAGACACCCAGTCTAAGGTTGACTGATTCAAATTTCATCTATCCTTTCTTACTTCTTCAGTGATAAATGAATGAATGATGATGTCTAATTCGATTATTTTTATGTTCGTGTGAGATTTTTGAAATTGTTACTGCTGCTCCTCAACGTTTTAATAATCAGCACACAGTGTGCGCGTTTTTTGTTCATAGTGTCAAAACGAAAAAATCTATAATGGAATGGTATAACACAAATAGTACAGTTTTTAATTTATTTTCTAAATTAAACGTTTTCTTCTTATCTAACAAGACGAAAATCGGGGCGCAGTTCTTTTCATTTTCATAATCAAGTCCACTAGCTCGTTCATCCATCAAGAGGTTTTCAGATTACGTATTAAAGCTCAAGCTAGGCGCTTAATCAGGAATCACATAGTCACGGAAACTAGTCGGTTGGTGAACTTGTTTTACATTTTAGCTATGGAATCAGTATATTTCGATTTGGAGCCGCATCATTTTCTCGGAAGGTAATGCCTTAATTTTTCGACTTCTATTCGAAATGAAATACTTGTAGACAACGAATGCCACCTATAAAACAAACGCCTGGCTCAATCGATTATGACTGTACTGCAGAAAATGGTTAATTGTGATTAACACACAGAAAATTGAGGCTGTGTATTAGATCATGTAAGATATTCTCATCCTTAGCAATTGTTCATGGTGATCATGCAATCATTTGTAAATTCTCCTTAAGGCATCCAGAATCCAAACCAACTACACCACTATAGTGGCAGCCGCTCTCGACTACTATCTGTGGTACACAATTCATAAACGAAGATTCGTTTTAAATCAGACATTTAAATATAAATCGGAGGTCGACATTGCTCTCAGACGAAAAATCTTCCACGCATTTATGTACCGCAGCACCTTTATATGTGTAAATTAGGTTTTTTCCTTCCATTTAACGGCTGAAACAGACACAAGTTTTGTTCGACTTTACAGTTGCGCCGTTAAGAGCCGATAATGTGTCAGTAGAATATGCAACATTTTTCTTCTGAACTGAAAGAAAAGTTTATTATTTTGAGTTTCCGTTTCTAGGAGAGACTGATCAATTTTTGATCTGTTTCAACAAGCACGCGCCATTCACGTGGTATCTTTTATAGTGAACATATTTAATATGTCTAATAGACAAAAACGGAAAAAGAACAAGACGATACAAGACAGTAGTAGAAGGAAACAGTGGCTTTCCTATATTATTTTCTCTATTTATTTTTCATGTTGTGTTGATACCACATCTTTTAATGACCGATTTAATCACTAGATGGTGCGATGTATCTTTTTCTATAATAAAGTTTAAATTAAAAAGTGCAGAAGCTTGTCTACATGACGCTTTAGGAGCTATATGGCCTACGACGTTGCGGAGGCAGCTCACATAACCGTCACATATATTAAACTTTTTTTAGAATGAATTACACAAGTGAGTAGTCTGAAAGTATATGTATATATATTAAGGAGAAAGAGAAAGTAATACAGAGAGAAAAAGAAAAGAGACAAGTGGAGGTATTGTATCTGTATCTGATAATAATCTTGACTATAGAAATGGACGTTTATAAATATAATCCTTTATAATGCTGTATGATATTTGATAAGTGTACAAATTATTATCTCCTTATTGAAACACGGATATTGTATCTGTATCTGATAATAATCTTGACTATAGAAATGGACGTTTATAGATATAATCCTTCATAATGCTGTGTGATATTTGATAAGTGTACAAATTATTCTCTCCTTATTGAAACACATATCATATGTCGTATATTATTCACATTAAGGTAGATGAGCTGTATGCAGGTGCGACGCCATATTATCGTTGTTGAAAAGCTAGAAAAACATGTGACAGCGTAAACCATTCATGCATATCGTCGATTAGTTCCAACTCTATCTTCCGCTATGTTTACTCATGAGCATCTGAGTCGAACTATTTTCATTGTAGAGGGATACACTAATTTCACATCTTAGGTCCAGATGTCAATGAAGCGAGATTCTGTTGTTTCGCCTGGTGTTTCGATACATTTATCTTGGGAAAACATATCAGCGCATGTCAGTTTAAAAGGTCGAAAAGGTGGCTTTAGTGAATTATTCACGAAAAAGTTTCATTCGAACGTTACAGAACCAACACAAAAACAGTTGCTACACAATGTATCTGGCTATGCCATTCCAGGCAAAATTTTGGGTATTCTTGGTCCATCTGGTGCAGGTGAGCAAAATGCTTTGCCATGACTGCGGTTAACTCAT